TGTTAGACGCCCCCAGGAGGGGCCCTGATGGAGAAGGGGAGTGTGCCCTCCACACCAGGAGAAAGCTGCTCCTACCACCCACGAACGTCCCAGTAAGACCCCAGGCCCCTCCTGGGCTGCAAAGTCTTCTCCTAGACCATCCCTGCTCTCTCTTCTCACATAAGTTATTTTCTATTTTTTTTCCCCATCTAAGAACAGGCATGTTGTATTATGTAACATAGCTTGAGTCTTCCTGACTACTGACTGCCTATTTATCAATGGCAACGATTTACTGTTTGACAATGGGAAATAATGATATTCACCTGACCAGTGTTCTCTTAAAGTCATCTCTGGGACAATAATGGGGTCCAATTACATTTTTTTCTTTCAGTCACTTCTGATAGATAACATATTGGGAGAAACAAAAATATCTGAAATATATATTAAAAAATTGGTAAACAAGCAAGCATCTGTGGTCCACGCCGCTCCTGACAACTGCCACAGCCTCTGATCAGGGGGGCACTGTGGTTGGTGCTGTGTAAGCTCTTCCCTCGGCGTCCTTGCAACACACCCGAGAGATGGGTGCTACTGCCCTCCGCCTTCATAGAAGTTACATCAGCTATAATTCTTTAGATCCTAGTGACTAAAGCCTGGCTCAAATAGGCTTAAACAAAAGTGGGATGTGCTGGCTCCTGCCTCCTAACGACTGGGAACAGCCCTAGCTCTAGGGCTCTGAATGGACACATGCTTGGCCCTGAACCAACCCCAGTGGCTGGGGAGTGTGACACTCTGACTGGTCACTCCAGAGTTGGCATCGCCAATTCAATGGACATGAACTAGGGCAAACTCCAGGAGATGGTGAGGGAAGCCTGGCGTGCTGCAGTCCATGGGGTCATGAAGAGTTAGACGCAACTTGGCAACTGAACAACAAGAGTTGGTAGGGGCCATCAGCTGATCCAGAAACAGGACAATGAAGAGTGGGGAGTCCCCAGAGAAGAATGAGTGACCAGAAGGCAGATGACGGGCTGGGTGGCAAAGCCCACCACAAAAGCCAGAGGTGAACTAAGGTTTGGACAGCTCCAGAAAGCCCCACTTCTCCAATTTCCTAAGGTGTTCTGGGGTCACTGGGCTGGCATTTGTTGTTGTTGCCGTCTAATTGCTAAGTCCTACCTGACTCTTTTGTGACTGCATGGACTATAGCTGACCAGGCTTGTCTCTCTACGGGGATTCTCCAGGCAAGAATACTGGAGTGGGTTGCCATGCCCTCCTCCAGGGGATCTTCCCAACCCAGGGATCAAACCCACGTGTCCTGCATTGGCAGGCGGATTCTTTACCACTGAGCCACCAGGGAAGCCCCTAGATCTTTACTATTCGGCCCCTGACTGTGACCCAGGCCTTGGGGACCTGTTTCTGTCAGCATCTCTTCTGCTCTCTATTCTGGGAGGTGCAGGATGCTGGGGCGGGACAGCGTCGTCTAGCACAGGCTGTCCAAGCCAAGGCCCCGGGGAGTCCCATCGAATTGTCACTGCAGTTACATAACTTAAGTATATGAGATGTCATTATTTTTTTAAATATACCAATAAAATTGTCTCTGATTATTTTAGTCACAATACAAATAGCCTCAATTAGAGCAGAAATAGGGCACGGGTTTATGGCTCCCATGAATCTGAGAGCAACCTCAGTTCTGAGACAAGAAAGCCTTAAGTTCCTGCCTGCCCCTGCCATGAATCCTGCAGCAAAATGTTCCCAATTCCAGCGTGGGCTCTGCAGGCCGGGAGGAGTGGGGATGGAGGGTACCTGGGTCACTTTTTCAAGGCCCGGACTCCCACTGCTGGACCGAGACAGGGAAGGTCTTCAGCCCTGCAGGAAGGCTGCACGCCAGGCAGAGGACACTGGTCTAATTTACGGGTCCACACCCACACCCGGCAGCCCGATTGTCTGTCCCTCTGTTACTGGACTAGCCCCATTCTGGACCTCACTCCCAGGCTCTCCTAGGCCTTCAGTTCTGGTCTGGTCCTCCCAGCCCTCCCAGCCAGCCTGACTCCCAGCTTCCCTTTTACAAGAGAGCAATTTCCGCCTGCTGCCTCCAAAGGCAGCCCTGTTGGAGAGGCCCAGGCCTTGAGATCCAGCCAACCCCTCTGCACCTCCACCCCTCCACACACACATTACAGATGGAGAATCTGAGACGGAGAATCAAGGGGAAGAATGGTCCATGGTCACACAGCAAAAGAAGCGGCTGACCAGGGAGCCTCAACGCTCTGCCCCCATCCTGGGAGCCACAGGAGAGGCCAGGATAGAGGTGGGCAGCCAGCCCTTGGCCGGAAGCCTCAGGGTCCTCCCCACCCTGTTCTCCTCTGTCGCTCCCCTCTGAGAATCGGCACGGCCATGAGACCCTGGAAAGCCCAGCCCAGCCCCTTCTACCCGGTCAAGATGGAGGAGACCTCATCACACAGCCATAGTCACAGACGGAGATTGTGAGCTGGGCTCAGCCATGGAGCCCAGCCCTGGGCGTACCGCCTCTCCCCTCAGGAGACTCTCACCCTCGTATTGCAGATTCAGTACATACAGTGGGAGACCTCATCTGACCGGAGTCACCCACCCAGGGAACAGCATCAAGGACTGCGGACACGGGGCCTGCGCACTCCCGTCCCACGGCGACACTGGTGTGTGTGGCCCTGCGGCTTCTTCAGGGCCGCGGCAAGGAAGGAGTGTCTGATGCATGGGGAGAACCGTCCCCCTCAGCCCCGCCCTGCCTGCTCTGTCTGATGAACTTGAGCCTCTTCCTCTCAAATGTCCGTGAAAATGTGTTGGGGATTTTTAAAATTGGAAATCGTAGTAGGAACACAGATGAATCTGGAGAGAACTGAGATTGTCACAAAGCAAGTTTTCCCATCCCAGAAAGGATCAAGGATCATTTCTCTCTAACCAGGCGTGTCTGCTGTTTGTCCTTTTAGTGTTTCAGGATTTTCTTCATCTGGGCCTTGTGTGTTTCCTGTTCAGTTTATATACTTTGTGGCTTTATTGATGTTGTGAATGAGGCTCTTTCCCCCACCCCCGTCCCATTTCATTTCCCAGGCAGCTATTCCCTGGTACTAGACCTATGGTTTTCCTCCATGTACCCTCCCTCAGTCCACTTTTCCAGGCTTTCTCCGTGGATCAAATTGTTGTGCAATTAACATTCTTGGATCTTTTCAGTAAACATAAACATATTGTCTGCCAATAATGAGAATATTGTCTTCCTTTCTGATTTGGGGGTTTTGTTTTCTTTCCATTTTCAATTTTATTGTGTTGGCGAAATACCCTTGTTTATATACACGACTAGGTATAAAATGGATAACTAATGAGAACCAACTGTATAGCACAGGGAACTCTACCCAGTGCTCTGTGGTAACCTCAATGGGCAGGAAATACCAAAAAGAGGGAATATATGTAAACATAGAGCTGGTGGCTCAGATGATGAAGAATCTGCTTGCAATGTGGGAGACTCAGGATCAGTCCCTGGGTCGGGAAGATCCCCTGGAGAAGGGCATGGCAATCCATTCCAGTGTTCTTGCCTGGAGAATCCCATGGACAGAGGAGCCTGGCAGGCTACAGGCTATGGAGTCTCAAAGAGTTGGACATAACCAAGCAACTAACACTTCCGCTTTCTTCACTTTTCACAGCTGATTCACTTTGCTGTGTACACCAGAAACTAACACAATGTCATAAAGCGGCTATGCTACACTCGCTGCCCCCCAAAATCCTCATGGATAAAGGGCTAGCCTCCAACTCCTCAGTGAGGCCCTGGAGATGAACCCTCAAGAGCCCTGTCAGCGTTGCCCGGGGCTGCCCTTCTCAGCACATCAACAGTTTCAAATGCCTTCCCTTCCCCAAGGCTGTCCCTTTCTTCTCGGGGTTCTCCAGGATCAGGCTGGGAGTGTGTGTGTGTATTAGTCACTCAGTCGTGTCCGACTCTTTGTGGTTCCGTGAACTGTAGCCTGCCAGGCTCCTCCATCCATAAAATTCTCCAGGCAAGAATACTGGAGTGGGTTGCCATGCCCTTCTCCAGGGGATCTTCCTGAGCCAGGGATCAAACTCTAGTCTCCTGCATTGCAGGTTGATTCTTTACCCTCTGAGCCACCAGGGAAGCCCCAGGCTGGAGGTGGAGGTGGCCAATCCTTCCAGCCCCTTGTGCTGGAGACTCCAAGGGAGAATTTCCTGGCTTGTCCCCACGTGTGCCTCTTCTTGAGGACCCGTGGGCCCTGGGCACCACGGTGCTGACCACAGGGATGAACATCTTTCCTAACTTAAGACCAATCTGTGTATCTCCTAACAAGAGCTGGCAGGCCGGGGGGCTTCATGATCCTAGCCATAGAACCATGGTCCTTCCTCCCAACTGTGCTCTCTGATCCTCCATCCAACACGTGTTAGTGGGCACTCATTGCTGGCCACACCCAGCACTGTGACTAGCAGTCCAGGGGAGACCAGATAAGGATGGGGGAGGAGGCTCGCCCACCGCATAATGAGATTGGCTGGGTACATGGTTCAAGAATGGTGGGGGGAAAAAAAAAGAATGGTGGGGGAAGCTGTTGGGCTCGAAGGTGAGAGCAGCCCCTCCTGCTGCTGGCGTGTAGGCTCAATAGTTGCAGTTTCTGGGCTCTAGAGCCCTGCAGCATGTGGAATCTGCCCGGATCAGGGATTGAACCTGTGTCTCCTGCATTGAAAGGTAGATTCTTTACTACTGAGCCACCAGGGAAGCCCCAAAGGCATTTTGATTTGACCAGTTAGAAATCTGAGGCAAAGTCAGGTGGTTTGGTTCCCACCACACTAAGGGAAGGGAAACAATGACAACCCTGGCTTTGGCTTAGCTCTGGCCTCCAGAGGTCAGGGGAGGATACACCACAAGGGCAGTTGTCTGCTCAGATAAACCTTCATCAGGGAATTGCATCATATACTAGTGGTATTAAAAGGAAAAGTGTGCAACTATTAATTAGGGTAAGAAAAATTAAGGTGACCCAGATTGCAATGGTAGCAGCATCCACATTTTAGCAGCTGCTGGCAGGACGTCTCTCCTCTCTCAAAGTCCTGCACTTTCTCTAGGAAGTCCTTGGTACTCAGCCAGCCATGCCCTGGCAACCATGCCCTGGACTCAGGCCTGGCCAAGTGGATCTTCTTTCCTGGGAAACAGAGGTGGTAAAGCTGAGTGCCCTGTTCACAACCAGCCCCAAGGGAGGAGGAGCCTGGAACTCTGGCCCCCAGGCCTTTGGGCCACCCTGATTTTGCTCTGCCCCCTCTTTGATCCAAGGACCACCTTCATGGTATTGGTGTGGGTCTGTCCAGCACCCATTCCCCCCTCGAGGGGTCTTGATTCCCCCTGTGTTCTCAGCCTGAATGGCTGGAGCTGTGCCCTACATGGGACCAGCTTGTGACCCAGTACCCAAACCCATCAGAATGCTGTTCCTCTGTGATGTGTCCTGTGTTGTGCGTGTGACTCTGGCCACATGGTCAGACACCATTAGAACTAACCCTGGGGTTTTCGTCTGAGCCACTGGGATGCAGTGCCTACTGTATCGCAATGGATCTACACCTGGACGGATGTGAGAAACTATCAGACCACCACCCGGAGCCCATGAATGTCCTCAGTGGGGTCAACCAGAGCCCAGAATCTATATTCCGGTGACAGTGGCTGAATCCAGCCCCGCCTGAGGCTACTCTGCCTAGGACAGGGTCTGCTCAGCTCATAGTGGACTGGGTGTCCTGCCCCTTGCCACCCCAAGAGACCTCCCCATGCCCAGCATCCTTCCAGCAACCCCTTGCTCCACTTCTCTGGCTTAAGTTAGCCCAAAGGGGTTTCAGCTGCTGGGCAGAGAACCCAGCCCCAGAGCACAGCTTTGTTCAAGTTTACAAGAATGGGGAGACCCTAGGACCTCCCTGTGGTCCAGTATCTAAGACTCCATGCTCCCAATGCAGGGGGCTGGGGTTCAGTCCTTGGTCAGGGAACTGGATTTCTCATGCCTCAGCTAAGAGTCCACATGCCTCTACTAAGACCTGGTGCAGTCAAATAAGTAAACGAACAAAAATATTAAAAAAAAAAGAGAGAGAATGGGGAGACCTAGCTCTAGGAAGGCCCTCGAGCTGGCCCCAGTACTGGGACAGATAAACCCAGTGTTGTCTTTTAAGGGAATTCCTCCTAAGACAGACCCTGGGATGGGCCTCAATATCACCTGGGGTACAAGATACCCTGGGGCAAAGTGCCTTGAGCTGGACCTTGGTGGCACTTGGAATGGGGGCAAGCATGCTGGTGTGGGACACCCAGGAGCCAAGGGCCTGAGGCAAGACTAAGTGAGGAGGCCTGGGTCCTGAGGCCTGGGCTGTGTGGAGGTGGGTGCAGTCCACAAGCAGACCAGAGAGTCTGGGTTTGACACCCAGGAAATAGGACATCATGGCGGTATGATTTACTCCAAATGGGTGATCATTGATTTAGGACTCCTGACAGGTGTGCTATTCTGAAACTTGACAGAGAGAAACATTAAGTCCAGGAGTCCCCATTCTGCATGGAGCAATCCCATTTCTCTACGCCTGGTCAATTCTACAGCCAAAGCATTTTTGTCCCCTGGAGGGAGTCAGGATGGATTTGAATTAACCGGGAAGTTCTTTGACTGCTATTTTAAAACTTCTCTCTGCTACCTGGCCTGACATAATAATTACCTGCCTGTGATTTATCTCTGGCAGATTATGAGCGATGATAGGGTTTGGGGTGATAATTGAGTGTGTCCAACACCTCACCTCCTCCCTCGTCATTCAAGCTGAAACAGTGCTGGTTTTCTCTCTGGGATGCTTGTGTTCGCTACCACCTTGCCAAGAGTGGGTTACAGAAGGAGGTGGGCATTTTGTAGTGAGTCCTGTCAGCTCACATAGCACCCTGCTATGCTCAGTCAGACTCGGTGGGGGTCTGTCCAGCTTGATCTTGGTCCAACATCTTGTAAGTCACCCCTTAGCTGGAGATCCACAGCCCAGATGCTAAGCCACATCTCTGCTCTCACCTTCTCCCAATATTTCCTGGGTTCCTACTGTGTGTCTGACACTGTTCTGGGGACACCTCAGTGAACCAAATGGAAAGATCCCTGACCTCAGGGAGTGGGAGGGAGCATGAGGGTCAGGGCCACACAGACACGTAATCAATCAACAGGAAGGGAACTTCAGGGCTAGATGTGCTAAAGAGGAAACGCGACAGGGCTCAGGAGGGCCCTGAAAGGCAGCACTGGAAGTGGGAGTCCAAGGATCCAGCCAGGAAAAGGCTGAGAGGAACAGATCAAGCAAAGGGAACAGGGAAGGGTTGGGGAGGATGGGAAGGAGGTGCGGGGTGGGGGTGAGGGGAAAGTGGAGGGTGTGAGCTCAGAGAGGTTGATGGGGGCTCAGAGCAGTCCCCTAAAGCTGGGGGTGAGGTTGCCCCAGAAGGGAAGCCCCCATCCTCCCCTAGAGGAAGTCTTGGGGAAGGGGTCACAGTGCGGCCAATAGGAAGCCCAGGATGGAGTTCTGGAGAGTCTGCAACCAGCACCATCAGCGGCTCCTGGAGGCAGGGCAGCTACATAATTGTAGGGCCTGGTAGGGAATGAAAACGCTGGGCCCCTTGTTCAAAGAGCATGGAAAAACCTTTCCCATTCTTCCACAATCTCTCTAGCCACCTGTCATGGGGTTTTAAAATTTGCTACTTAATGCTACTGTCCCTTGGGCATGGGGAAACTTGTGGGGTGAATGCAGATCCTTATGGGCGCCGAGCATCCCACCCTGAAATTCAGAGCTTAATCTGGCCTCCTGCCTATGCTCAGACCCCCAGGAGTGGAGGGTGACAGCAGTCGCCAGGTAGGGCACAGATTAGGTGGTTGGGATGTGGGAGGTGGTGGAAGGAGGTGACTCTGAGCCCCAAAACATATCCATTATCCCTTTGAACTTCACTTTACAAAGCACAAGTTTAAAGATAAAAATTATTAAGAATCTCAGGAGTAGGGGACTTCCCTGGTGGTCCAGTGGTTAAGAATCCTCCTTCCAAGGCAGGGACATTGGTTCCATCCCTGGCTAGGGAATTAAGATCCCACATGCCTTGGGGCCACTAGAGAAGCCTCCTGGCTGCAACTAATGAACCCATTCACTCTAGAGTCTGTGCACCCCCGCTCCACAACTACAGAAGCCCCCCAGCACCACAATGAAAAGCCTGTGCATCTTGACAAAAAAAAAAGAATCCCTAAAGTGGGAAGTACAAACAATTTGGTATAAGAAAGATGTTTTCACTGCTGTCTCAGCAGTGGCCAGCAGGTCTCTGTCCACACGGGAGGCTTGCCTCCACCCCTGCCCTGCTGAAGATGCTTGCTACCCCTAAGCCCTGGACCCTGGACCCGGGACCCTGGACCCTGGCTGCAGCAGGGGAGGTGGATGGGGGTGCCTGGCTTGTTGGTGCTGGTGGTCTGCTGGGCACAGGGCCATAAACCATGGGGTGGTCCCACAGTGGGTATATTTCCTAAAAGGTCTCAGACTTGGGCTCTGCCCTGGTTCTGCCATCAGCTTCATATGAGTCCTTAGGAGAGACATCATAATTCATCTTGGCCTCAGTGTATTTATCCATGAAATGGGCATAATGCCTTCTTCGTTGCAGGGTTCTGAGAGCTATGGTGAGGGTTGTGAAGGACCGAGGGGTCAAGCAGCTGCTTGGCTGAAGCTGGACTGCTGGGTCGCTGGGCTTAGTAGCCACATGCATTTAGTTTCCATTGGCCCATGGGGAAGGGAGAGAAAAGAACTTAGAATAATAATAATCTGTAACTTTCTGGCTCTAAGGATAGGGTAGTTGCTGGGTATTCCATTTATCAGAATGGGGAACTGTAGGTTAGAGGGGGCAAAATCCAGAGTCTGGGTTGGGACATTCTAGAGACTGGCGCAGCATTGGTTTCTAGAGGTTTGCTCGGCACACTTCCTTCTGCATCCTCTTCTGATGACACAGCCTGTCCTTGATGGACTCTGGAGTGGGGTGAGGTTGACTCCTGGCCCTGGCTTGAGGGGGTGGGACCTGACCTAGACCTGGCCAATGAGAGTACCTCATTCCCTAGGCCACTCTGACTGGCTCAGTGATGGGCATGTGACCCGAGTCAGCCAACCAGAGTCTTCCTTGAGACTTCATTGGCTGAAGTTTTCTCTGTCATCAGAAGCTGGGATGTGGAAGTGATTTTGAAAACACTTGTGGTTCTGTTGGCTGCCAAAGGGGGTTAGCATGCCTGAGAATGAAACTGATAACACAAGGAAGCAGACCCAAAAGAGGGAGAGTAGACATCTGATGAGTTTGCTAGAACCTCCAGATCCTGCTATACCTGAGGCAAGGCACCCCTTTGGACTTCTCAGTTGTGCAAGTCAATCAGTTCCTTTTTCCATAGAACAATATGTGAGCACTTTATAAATGTACAGTACTGTACTGGGCACTGTGAAAAGAATGTGAGTGCCAACAGACATGGCTGAGCTCTTCAGAAGCTCACAGGTTGATCTAGAGAGTGTTTCTCCCAGCTATGCTTCTAACCAGAGTTTGTCAATTGAATCTTTGAGACAGTTGTGAACAGCAGAGCAGATATTGTCCGTGAAGAGCAGGCTTACAAAAATGCGAGAAGCTAAGGGAATGATATAAGGTGTAGTTTAAACACAGCTCTGTGTGAAGGCAGAGAAACACAATGCTGGTGTGCAACTTTCCAGGGCCTAGAGAATCTGTGAGTGGTTAGCTTGTCCTCTGCGCCAGCTCTTCTGAATGAGGATTATCCTATAAAGATAATAGAATCATACTAACAAACATTTGGAATGCAGAAAAATATCCCTTTCAAGCCCACAGTCCTAACACAGCTGTGGTTAAAAGTATTATTTGGAGAATATGATGGTAGAGACTTTGGTGTGGTTGATGAGCCAGTGCGATGTATTCATTTTTCCATTCTTGGCTCACTCTGGGCCCCAGGCCTGGCCTCAGAGGTGAGGGCAGGGTAGTAGAGTGACTCTGAAGTCAGACCCACTGGGTTTGAGTCCTGCCCTCTCTGTCTCCAATGCTGGAGATTTGATCCCTGGGTCGGGAAGATCCCCTGGAGGAGGGCATGGCAACCCACTCCAGTATTCTTGCTTGGAAAATCCCACGGACAGAGGCGCCTGGGGGTTGGGCAGCAGTCCATGATGTCTCAAAGAGTCGGACACGACTGAGTTACTAACACTTTCACTTTCTATTTGCTTAAGAACTGTGTGATCTGGGCAAGTTGCTTAGCCTCTGAGCCTCGGTTTCTTCATCTAGAAAATGGGGATAATAATGGTACCTATTTCATCAATATATTAGGAGACTGAAATGAGATGGAACTGAGAAATACTGGTCCTCTCCTTGCCCCCCTGGCTTAGCCACTGCGTGTGCATAGCCATACACCTCTGGTCCTAGCTGTGCACCATATCCTGAGTCCTCCAGCAAAAGCCACTGATGGGGTATCGGGGGGATGTCACCTCCATAAGGAAAGGCTGCCTATTTCATGTAGGGATGCGGTGGACAGATGTGTGCTCTCTCGTTCTCTCTGCACACTTTAGGATGGGTTTGGGGGTCAAAGCAAACATCAGGGATGAATCTCCTGCTTTCTCCTGAGTCCCTGCTGCCCTACAGGCTCCTTTGAAGGCAAGTCCCCTGATGTACTGATATGGACAGCATCTCCCATGTGCGGCTTTTCAGGAGGCCCAGGTATGAGGGCTCGCAGTCCCACCCTTGTTACCAGAGAAACTGAACTCCTCATGGTGCCTGGCTGACTGCATCCTGCTCTGCACCTGGTCACCATGTATCAGCCTTCACTGTCTGCAGGGAACTCAACTGATGCTGGGAGAAACTATTTACACACAGCCACCATGGGGACACTATGATTTAGGAAGCTCAGGGGCTTCACAAAGCCTGCTGCATGTCCAATTGAGGCATGGACCACCCCCAAGCACACAGAGCCACTCATTCAATACCTTCCTAGGCTGGGGTCTGTGCAGGATGCCAGGCTCTCTGAGATGTAAACAGGAGATGCTGTAGTCCCAGAACCCAGGCTACAAGAGGGGCTGGAGCTTTGTCTCTGCCCAGAGAGGGGACTTGCTAGCCAGAGATCACACAGCAAGTCAAGGGGAAGAGCCAGGCCTTGAATCCAGGCCTCCTGACTCTGAGCCAAGTGCTTATCTTTGGGGAGGAGTTGACAAAGATGAGGGTGTGTTGGCCTGAATTGGGAGGAGGTTCTCAGGTTCCTTCCACACTCCTGAGACTTCCTTGG